AAACTAAACCTATTATTTTGCCCAACTATCATTAACGTAAGTTTCTTTGAAATGAGACATTCATCTTTCCCTCAGTTGGTTGTTAATCCTCACCAGAGGACATTTTTCCGTTGTTTTTTAGAGGCAGTGGAAAAAAGAGGCAGAGAGACACACAACACATCAATTGGTTGTCTCCCTCACCGATGGACCAGGGTGGGGTATGGAGCCTACAACTGAGGTACTGCCCTTGACCTAAATTGAACCCACAACCCTTCAGTCAGAGCGGGGCCGATGCTCTATCCACTGAGTCAAATTGGCGAGGGCATTATTTTAAAGGGCAGAAACTCAATCTTCCTCTTTCCCTTCTTAAGTCTGATATTCCTATGGTGAGCACCTTCCTACAAGAACGAAAAGCAACTTGCAGGTCTGGTCTTTGAACTATATAGGAACCCAGAACCTTAATGTTACTGGTAATAAAACAAGCAGAGCAGCAACTTATGGGAAGACTACTGCTTTAGCCTCCCCATCCTTTGATATGGACAACTGATTTTTGCTCAATTCTAATGTAAAATGTGAATAAAAATTGCTTTAGAGGTCTTCTATTTTACAGTTTTATAGCTAAGAGAATGAATACTTACGTAAATACAGGTTTAAACCAGGACCTCCAGCCCTGTGATCAGATTGCCTTAAGCATTTCTTTTTTTTTTTTTTTTTATTTTTTATTGATTAAGATATTACATATGTGTCCTTGTCCCCACGTTACCCTCTACCCCACCCCCCCCCCCCCCGCTCATGCCCTCTCCCCCCCGTTGTCCATGTCCATTGATTAGGCCTATATGCTTGCATATAAGTCCTTTGGTTGATCTTTCCCCCTTACCCCCACCCTCCCCTACCTTCCCTCCAAGTCCCGACAGTCCAATCAATGCCTCTCCGTCTCTGGATCAGTCCTTGTTCATCAGCTTATGTTGTTCATTATAATCCACAAATGAGTGAGATCATGTGGTATTTATCCGCTCTCCAGTTCCATCCATCCATGCTGTGGCAAATGGTAAGAGTTCCTTTTTCTTCTTCCTCTTCTTAAAGAATGCCTTTCAGCATTTCATATAATGCTGGTTTGGTGGTGATGAACTCCTTTAGCTTTTTCTTATCCGTGAAGCTCTTTATCTGACCTTCTATTCTGAATGATAGCTTTGCTGGATAAAGTAATCTTGGTTGCAGGTTCTTGCTATTCATCACTTTGAATATTTCTTGCCACTCTCTTCTGGCCTGCATGGTTTCTGTTGAGAAATCAGCTGACAGTCGTATGGGTACTCCCTTGTAGGTAACTGACTGTCTTTCTCTTGCTGCTTTTAAGATTCTCTCTTTATCTTTTGCTCTTGGCATTTTAATTATGATGTGTCTTGGTGTGGTCCTCTTTGGATTCCTTTTGTTTGGGGTTCTCTGCGCTTCCTGGACTTGTAAGTCCATTTCTTTCACCAGGTAGGGGAAGTTTTCTGTCATTATTTCTTCAAAAAGGTTTTCAATATCTTGCCCTCTCTCTCCTTCTGGTACCCCTATAATTCTGATGTTGGTACGCTTGAAGTTGTCCCAGAGGTTCCTTACACTATCTTCATATTTTTGGAATCTCTTTTCTTTTTTCTTTTTCGGTTGGGTATTTTTTGTTTCTTTGTATTTCAAATCTTTGACTTGATTCTTGGGATCCTCTTGTCTGCTGCTGGATCTCTGTAAATTATTCTTTATTTCAGTCAGTGTATGCTTAATTTCTAGTTGGTCCTTTTTCATGTCCTCCATGGTCTCACTATACTTATTGAGGGATTCATTAAATTTATCGGTGGTTTCCATAAAATTCTTGAAAAACCTTATAAACGTGGCCTTGAACTCTATATCCAATCGTTTGCTTTCCTCCATTTCTGCCATTTGTGACTTGTTTCTTTGTCTCCGCATTTTGGCAGCTTCCCTGTGTTGATAGAGTGGCCCTGCGCGCCAGGTGTCCTGTAGGGCCCAGTAGCTCAGCCTCCCCAGTTACCTGGGGTGGACACTCTTGGTGCACTCTTGGTGCCTTGGTTGTTGTAGAATCACTGGGAGGAATTGACCTCCAGGCCAATTGGCTGTGAGAATCAGCTGTGTCTAAAGTGGGAGAACTTCTGTGCTGAAGACACCCTTCTGGGGCAAGACTTGCTTCAGTGGGGCTTTGGTGCTCACTGAGTCTGCTCCCTGAGTGTGTCCCTTATGGATCTGAGGAGTTGCAGTCTGGTACCCTCTGACCACTGGGTACAGTGGCTCCTGGATCTAAGGAGGTGCTAATTCAGCCTCTGCCTGAGGCCACACAGCAGGAGCCACGAAGAGGCTCAGCTGTGAAGCAATGCAAGCAGCTGCGGGGCCTTGGGCCTTCTCTTGGAAGTTCTGGGTCTGCCTGGCTGGGCTGCAGTTAGGTACATTCACATGCAAAAGCCTCTGCCGCAGCCTGGGTGGGGCGGGGTCTCAGGGAATCAAAGGGCGGATCAGGGAGCTATGGCTGATTCTCCTAAGGAGTCGCACGTCTCAGTGTCCCGGTAACGGCTGCAAGCACCTCTGAGGGAAAGCCGCCTTCAAGTTCGCCCGCTGCCGGACAGACCAGCTTCTCCCCGTATGAGACCTGGGTCCCCAGAGACTTCCCGGAACCGGAGTTCAGAGCAGTCGGGAGTTTGTGATTCAAAAAGACAGCCGCGTCCTCAGGTGCCACCCCCTTTCCTCGCGCGCACGAGCCGCCGTACCTCTGCACTTCACCTCCGCAGCGCCTCTGGCTCTCAGCGTGCTTTTCTTTCCTTCTAGTTGTAGAATTTACACTCAGCCAGCCTTTCTGTTGATCTGGATGATGTTTGCTCAGTCCTTTGCGGTAATTTTCAATTGTTGTGAGAGACGGCAATTTCCCGGTGTTTACCTATGCCGCCATCTTAGTTTCTCCCCTTAAGCATTTCTTATAGGAATTTTGTTGCACCAACCCAGAGAGAAGCCAATCACGAGAAAACCTTGAGTATTATAGTTATTTTCTATTATGTAGTTTTATGTAAATTAATTTTATTTTCTTGTTAGGGTGCCTTTCAATTTTTTAAAAATTGATTTCAGAGGGAGAGAGGGATATAAATACCAATAATGAGAATCACTGATTAGCTGTCGACAGCATGCCCTCACTGGGCATCAAGCCTGCAACCCAGGCACATGGGTTGACCTCGTGGTTCATGGGTCAATGCTCAACTACCGAGCAACACTGGCCAGACCAAGTATTTATTATCAGTTATAAAGTGTAAAAAACTTTAAAACTTGTTTTAAGTAGTTTTATGAAAGCATTGCATTTAAGGAATCTTAGTTTTTATCAAAACAATAAAAATGCATATATTCAGGGTAATTATAAGAGCAAAGACTTTAATAACTAATTTATTACGTTAGCAAATATAATTTGGAAATATATAAAAATACATCATGACCAGATTGGGTTTATCCCAAGAATAAAAAGGATGCTCTCCCCCCCCCCCCCCCCAAAAATCAATGTTATGTATCATTAAAAAAAAAAATCAATGTTAGTGTTAAAAAAATACCAATGTTCTATCTCAACATTCAAAAGAAAAGCTATGTGATTATCTCAAAAGTTGCAGAAAACAACCTTTGGAGTATACTAAAAAACTACTGAATTGTATGCTTTAAAAGGATGACTATTATGGTATGTAAATTACATCTCAATATTTTTTTTCAAAAAAATTACATGTCAAAATTCAGTATCCATTTATGGTTATAAAAACACAACTTTCAGCAAATGGGGAATATCAGGGATTCTAAACCTGATAAAGAATTTTTACAAAAAAGCCTACAGGTAACATCAAATAAATGGTGAAAACAAAGTTTTCCCTCTAAGATTGGGAACAAGGCACTCCTAATCAACATTGTCTTGGAGGTCACTACACAATAAGGGGGAAGGCCATAGATCTATTTGTGGATGATGTGAATACCTATATAGGAAAGTCAAATAATCTTTTTTTAAAAAGCACCAGGACTAACAAAGTTAGTATGCTAAAGTGTATTTGTATACAGTATTAATCAACAGTTAGAAACAGATTTTAAAATGACCATTTATAGCAGCACCATAAAACATGAAATGTACAAGGTCTGTATGTGAAATGCAGGAAACACTGATTTCTAATAATCAAATACCTTAAAAAGAGAGACCATGTTTATGGATTGGAACATTCATTATTAAATTTCTCCCTAAATTAATCTATGGATTCAACATAACTTGTCAAAATCCTAGAAGGAATTTTTGTAAAATTCAACAAGCTGACTATAAAATTTACATGGACAGGTACAACTACAATAGCCAAATATTTTTGGGAAAAAAAAGATGAAATTGGAGGACTTCAATCTGACTTAAACACATTAAAGCTAATCAAGACTGGTATTGGTAAAAGTTAAAGAGAACAGAATAGAGTCTGAAATAGACATCTATATATTGTCAAATTTTAACAAGTGTTCAAAAGTAATTCACTAGAGAAAGAAGTCTTTTTAACAAATGTTACTGGGATATCCATATGTGAACATCCAAACAATTTATACGGCACACCAAAATTGGATTATAATCTAAATGTGAACCCTAAAACTACAAAATATCTAGAAAACAGGAAGAAAAAAAATGTGACCTTGGGTTAAAGATTTCTTAGATATGAAACTAAGAAGAAAAAAATCAATAAATTGGACTTAACAAAATTAATGTCTGCTCTTCAAAGCACACTAAGAAATAAGAAAAGCCATAGACTAGGAAAAATATTTGCAAAACACATCTGATAGTACACTTATGTCCAGAATATGTAATTAATGCCCAAATAGAAAATAACCGTCTCAAATGTGGGCAAAAGATTTGAACATTTCACCTAAAATGTGGATGGGCCCAATCGGCATGGCTCAGTGGTTGAGCATCAACCTATGAACCAGGTGGTCATGGTTTGATTCTGTCATGGCACATGCCTGGGTTGCAAGGTCAGTCCCCAATATGGGGCATGCAGGAGGCAGCCAATGGATTCTCTCTCATCATTGATGTTTCTCTCTCTCCCTCTCCAATCAAAAATATATTTTAAAAATAAAATTATGTGGATGGCAAATAAGCCTACAAAAAGATGCTCATCATTATTAGCTATTAGGAAATTTAAAGCTCCAATGAAATACCACCGCACGCCTATTTCAATGGCTAATTCAAAACCAAACCAAACGCTGTGACCTAAAATTGAAGTTCTCCATAGGATGTAATAGACACTCAATAGTGTCTATTTTGTCCTGAAGAGATATATGATAAACAAACAAACAAACAAACAAAAAAACAAAACCAAATACTGGGGCGGCAGCAGAGCAACAGGAAATTTCATACATTACTGGTTGAAATGTAAAGTGGTAGTCATTTGGCAAAAAACCAGTTCTGGCAGTTTGTTATAAAGTAAAATATATATTTACCATGTGACCTACTGTATGAATAGAGGACGTTTTTATTTATCGTTCATTAGTGGGACATTGTCTTTTTCACTTTTTAGCTATTGTAATATTACTCTGAAATTTGTGTGTAAGTTTTTACATGGATGTGTTTTTATTTCTCTTGGGTATATGCCTGTCAGTAGAACTGCTGGGTCATTTGGTAACTCTCTTTAACCTCTTGAAAAACTACGAGGCTGGTTTCCAGGATCTCCATTCTCATCACCAATATATAAGGGTTCCAACTTCTCCACATTCTTGCTAACACATCTTTCTTATTACAGCCATCCTAGTGGGTATAAAGTGATATCTCATTGTGGTTTTGATTTGCATTTCCCAGATGGCTAATGTCCAACATATATTCTGGTGTTTATCGGCCCTTTGTATATCTCTTTTGAAAAATGTCTACTTATAGTCTTTACCCATTTTTAAAAATTGGGTTGTCATTTATCATTGTTATAAAAGTTCTTTGTATATTCTAGATACAAATCTACCAAATGATTTGTAAAAATTTTCTCCCATTCTGTGGGTTGTCTTACTTTATTGTTGTCCTCTGAAGCACAAGTTTTTAATTTTGATGAAGTCCATTTTTTGTTGATGGTGCTTTCGGTGTCATATCTAAGAGACTAACACATTAAGTTCCCGACTCTCTTCTAAGATTTTTATAGCTTTACCTCTTACATTTAGGTTTTTGATCTATTTAGTGTTAATACTTTTGCATGATGATATACAGTTATTCCACTACTATTTGTTGAAAAGTAGGAAGAATACATTTCTGAAGAGAATGTTAGTTTTCTCCAAAGAAAAAGAGGACAAAGGTGCTGAGTAGAATTTATAAACTAACTCTAATCAAACGTGAATATTTTAAAAATTCCGTATCACACTTTCCCTATAGCAAAAGCAATTAACTGTGCTAAAGGCAGTGATGGAAATAGTATCTTCAATGTTTGTCCAATTTATCCAGCACTTAAAATAATGCAAACCACTAATTTCTAAAATAAGAATATATTAGTACATTCATCAAAGTAAATAAGACACTACAGATATGAACTAGTTTTTAATAAAAGATCAGATAGAAAGCTTAGATTTATAAAGTTGGTGACTTACAAACAGGTTTCCTTTAAATAAGATTTATCCTGGTGAATCTAAACTAATTCTATGGCAAACAAAAACCACAATGTTCAGACTTCTCAGCAATAGTTCTTTAAATAAATTGCAGTGCAACTCTGATTACATTTCAAAATTTAAACCTTTGTTTGAGGTAGAATATAGAAAAATATCAAAATATACTACTTAGGGTACATCTCAATTAATAAAACTCAACTTTTATCCAGTAATCAATCTTTTGCAATTTTTTAGTTTTCTTATTAACTGTACTTTTTGAACATTCGCTCAATAACAGGTTATTTTTACATACACAGGTATATGTGCTTGCTGCTTCTTTTAACCATTAAAATACTCCCATTTATGAAAGTACATATACCTACATGTTTTTCTAGTTATCTTTTCAACTCTGGGTGTGAGAAAATTGGCATTATATTTCCATCTTTGACAGTATTTAAGTTACTCCTGAATTTCTGTAAAACTTGACAATTTTTTTCATACCTATTATCTCAATTGACCATCTTTTTCCAAATTATTACTCACATGCTATAAAATTCCATTATTCATTCAACACTGAAATGTTTTATTATTTTAGCCTCCCCATAAATACAAGTAGATTTCATAAAGGCTTCTCATTTGCTGAGGAGCACTGGGCTCTTTCAATAGGAGTCAAGTAATTATCCACTCTATTATTCAAAGTATTATTTCAAAGTCCAGAGACAATGAATTGTGAAAATTACATCACCTGTGCACGTCCCTAAAACTATAATTCCCAGCTTCACTGCAGCACAAGGAACCATTTCATGGCTCAGGTGCTTACTGTCCACCTGATAAAGTATTTTTATTTTAGGATACCCTGGCAAAGGGACTTTGTTGTATCTGATATTTTAATTTAGCCTAAATCTAAAACCATACATTAATTTTCATATGTAAATAAAATTATATTCAAGGTATTCTGTCAACCAAAGCTCTTTTAAGGAATGTAGTCTATTTGTAAAAGGAGTCAATGTGTTGGTGACTCCTAGTTGTTATTTTCTCATTTTTAAAGTAGATTGAATAAGTTAAAATGATGTCCAGTCACATTATTCAGTCTTACGGTACTAAATTCAAAGCCAGTATTTCTTGTGTAGTCTGCTCTTACTGCTTTGTAAGGATGGTAACTTTGAAATGCCACAAATCATACCAAAGTTCAAGCAGATTTTATAAAATATGCAAATTGTGAATTCTAATACAAACCTGTCCACTGTGCAGAATGGTCAATTTAGAAAATATGATAGGTTGAACTTGAAAATAAATGTTGACCAACTATTCTTAATATAAATTTAAATATATTTTGGGTCTCTCATTTGGATGTCCATGGTTACTTAGCAGATGCCTGAATTTATTGGTATTTAGTAAAACTTAAACATTTGCAATCCTCTAAAGATGACCAGTGTTTCCTTGACATTTTCAATTCAAGTCTTTCTTACTGGTGTTAAAATGAGCTTTATCTTTAGCTCTCAACTTTAAGAAGCAGATTATTATATCCTTTAGTAACTTTACAAAGTGATTGGTGGCACACACTTCTCCATCAAAGAGATGCTCATCTAAATCTACAAAAAGATAACTATGTCCAGAAAGCTCACATAATATTTCCTGTTGAAGATATAATTCCCTCTGTTTAGGAAGTTGTTCATAAACTGCCATTCTTGAATGGGTTCTTACAACCTGCTCACAAATGTTTATGACTCGACATAAACTTTCTGAAGGGATATGCAAACCATTCTTCTTTTTAACACACAACAGTGACCCAATTTTAGAGGTTTTGAGATCCGATGCATACAGTGCACTGATGCAGTCCTCACAAGTTAAAAGAGTTGATAATGTATCTGCAATATAACCAGCACAAAAGGTGAGATTTCGCCTATAATCTGATAGATCTAGTAATGCCTCACTTACTGAACAATTAGACCAGTCTTGGCAAATATCCTCGTTGTGAAAAAGAGTCTTTATAATGTTGACACCATATTGACGTTGAACTGTCCAAAGGTTTAAATCTGTCCTTCGAGCAATTGAGATGTCGAGGATGCTCAGGTCACTTAGAAAAACTTCATCTTGTAATCTGTATCTGGTCTCCAAATTATGGTAAGCTTTCTCGAATGCCATGCAGGTAGGGTTAGAACTGGTTGCTAGTATTTTTCTAAGCATCTTTAGAAATAATTCCAGATGGTCTTGACTGAATTTATAAGTAAGAAGATATGGAAAAGGCCTTACCTTTGGGAAAACATAATTTTGATAGAGCCATTTTAAGCTCTCAGCATTAAGCAAAAATCCCAGGAATCCTAGTTTTCGCTTACCTTTAATTATTTGATTATTGCTAGTATCAGATAATGTAACAAAAATCGTCTTGGCTTCAGTTAATACCTGATTAATTTTATTAAAAGTTGCAAGCATTAGAGGTCCTTTAAATCCCTTTCCATAATAGTTCCTACTATTAAAAATGTCAAAGAGATTATTAATTAAGCGTACAAAGTGAATGGTACCAATACAGTTTTGAAAAGGTGGCAGGCCTAATGACAGCAAACATTCTAACGCACTGGCCACACTCTCAGTGAAGAGTTGGGCAGCTGAATTCACTTTTAGTACATGGTTTTTCAAATTTTCAAGTTTTCTTGGGATTCTTTCCATGTTTGATAATTCCTGCTCCTCTAGTGCTACTAACTCCACAAGGTGCTGCCAATGTGCTGTGCCATTACTGAACTGAATGCTTTGAAAACTCTGAAATGAATTTCTTATTAATCTAAGCAAGTGGCAAGAATCAAAGAAGTATGCAATCTGTTGACTAGAAGATGAAGGATGCTGGAATGTGTACTTCATGGTGTCTCCATCAATGTGTATCCCCAATGCTTTTGCCATCTGAACACTCTGAGCTGTAACATCAGACGTAACAGCCACAACTGTGATGCCTATGTCACTCAGTTTGCCAATAGTAAGACGAAGCAGCTGAGCTTGCAAATATCCAGATGCTCTGTTTACAAAAAAATAACCAAGAGGTGTTCTCCAATGACCACAAATACCCACTGCCATCAATAAAATAGTTTCTGAGGCAAGTGGCATTTCATCAGCATCAAGTTTTCCAAGACCAAAGTCCATAAACCCTTGCAAATGTTGACTGCTGGGATCCCACTGAACCTGTTGCTTGAGAGGTACACCTTTTATTATCAGTGAACAATACTGATATAGCTGGTCTCCATTCTCTACTCTTTGTTGAAGAAAAGAAAAAACGTTGCTGTTGAAACCTGGACTGGGTTTGCGTTTGGATAACCATCTGGAAAATATAAAAATTGAAAAATATAAGATACAAATGAAGAAATTAAAAAAAATTTTAAAAAGCCCTAGCCAGTTTGGCTCAATGGATAGAGTGTCGGCCTGCAAACTGAAGGGTCCGGGGTTCGATTCCGGCATGGGTACATGCCTGGGTTGTGGGCTCAGTCCCCAGTGGGGGGCGTACAGGAGGCAGCCGATCAGTGATTCTCTCTCATCATTGATATTTCTATCTCTATCCCTCTCCCTTCCTCTCTAAAATCAATAAAAATATATTTTAAAAAAAATTAAAAAGAGAAAATGCCGCCCGGCAGGTGTGGTTAAGCATTGTTGACCCATGCACCAAGAGGATGGTTTGATTCCTGGTCAGGGCACATGCCCAGGTTGTGTGCTCAATCCTCATTGGGGGTGTGCAGAAGACAGTTGATGGATACTCATCAATGTTTCTATATCTCTCCCCCTCTCCCTTGCTCTCTAAAATAAATAAATAAAAAACATACCATTTTAAAAAGAGAGAAAATGCCTTAAATGGTACTGAAGTAGCCTTAAAAATCTCTAAAGCAGTGGTTCTCAACCTGTGGGTCGCAACCCCTTTGGTGGTCGAATGACCCTTTCACAGGGGTCGCCTAAGACCATCCTGCAGATCAGGTATTTACATTATGATTCCTAACAGTAGCAACATTACAGTTATGAAGTAGCAACGAAAATAATTTTATGGTTGGGTCACAAAATGAGGAACTGTATTTAAAGGGCCAGAAGGTTGAGAACCACTGCTCTAAAGAAATAAAGCCAAGTGTAAGTAGCCAAATTCTCAAGTAAATAGAATTATCATAAAATAGTAAGATAATAGAGAAACTTAGAAACACAGAGTAATATTTTAAGATGCAAACATACCACAAAATAATTTTTAATTTCTCATTTACTTCTTTTAAAAGTATAGAAATCAACTACTCAGTTTGTTCTAATTGATGTGTTTAGAATTTAGATCATAAACCAGTCTGACCTATACATTCAATGAAATGAGAAAATTGTTGAAGGGGAAGGAAACATTGGGGACGTTTAGTACATCTACCTCATTTTATAGTTAGGAATCTGGGACAGAGGGAAAGGTTAAGCCTCTGGACCTATATTGTGCTGCTAGTTATGTACAAGTGAAACCCAGTTCTGTTGATGCCTTGTTCAGAGTTTTTCTCATTGCTCCTTATAGCCTCAAAAGTATACCCTTGGGGCAACTAAGGAGTCTCCAAGGTAAGTGTCCAATAGTTGGAGAATGCCTAAATTACTAGGATACAACTCCCTGATACTATGCAGCTATTAAAGATCACAACTATGTAAAAAACCAGTAATCTAAGTCCAGATAAAAGCCTATTAGAAAATTCCCTGAATGTTAACAATAATTGCTTATACATAATGTAGAGGAACAATTAATGACTTCTCCTTCCTTTCTCTAGTTTCTAAATGTTTTAGTAGTAGTATTTTAATAGTGTATATGGAGAAAAATTCTCATTCATTTTTTAAAGAGGGGATATAATGCACAATATGGTGATTATAATAAATAATACTGTGTTATGTATTTGAAAGTTGCAAAGAGAGTACATCTTAAAAGTTCTCATTACTACCTGGCCAGTTTGGCTAAGTGGTTGGAGCATTGGCCCATGAACCAAAGGGTTACAGGTTCCCATTCCTGGTCAAGTGTGTGTATCTGGGTTATGGGTTCCATCCCCAGCCCCCATTGGGGCACATGCAGGAGGTAAACAATCAATATGTCTCTCTCACATCTATGTTTCTCTCTCTCTTTCTCTTTCCCTCCCTCCCTCCACTCTCTCTAAAAATCAATGGAGAAACTATCCTCAGGTGAGGATTAACCAAAAAAGAAAAAGTTCTCACCACAAGAGAAAAAATGTTATGTGTGTGATGGATGTTAACTAGACTTATTGTGGTGATCATTTTACAGTATATACAAATATTGAATAAGTGTACACCTGAAAGTAATATAATTTTAATGTCAATTACATCTCAATTAAAAAAAAAAAATGTTTTCCCCAAAATGGAAAAAAAAAAAAAAAAGTCATGATAATTGAGGGCCTTTTTCCCACCAGGCCTCAATTTCTCCCTTCTTTAAAATGAGGGTGTTGAACTACATGGTATCTAAGAGTTTCTTCAGCTCAGAGCCCCTGTGACTGTGTTTTCAAATTGAAGCAAAAAGAAACCATGAGGCACCTTCCAGAAGAGGTAGATGGCTCCTGCCATTCCTGGCAGGTCTTTGCCCCAACTCCAGTGAATTAAATGGAGTGCTGTTTTTTAGACAGCAACTTGAGATACACTGTATTTCTTTCTTATAGCTATTCAAAATCCTAATTACCATCTCGGCATTCTTTCAATTGCACAAATATTCATCAAGGGACCATTGTGTTCCAAGCACTGCTCAGGGCTAGGGTGTTTGGGTGTAACAAAGAACCAGATGTAGGCATCGTACTTGGGCAGCTCATAGCATCGTGTGGAATACAGTGTTATCGTACTTAAGATTCAGTTCCATATAGTGTGTGCAAGAGAGGTGCCTAATCCAGAATTGGGAGAATGGCAGGCCAGGCTTCTGAAAGGATGTAATACCTAGTCTGGGTCTGAAAGGTGAGGATCAATCATCAGTACTAACAGATAGGAAGACTGGGCATTTCAGGCAGACTGGGCATTTCAGTCCCTGAAGCAAGAAGCAAGAAATGCCTTACAACTGGAGCATGGAATGAAAGAGGGCAGAAGGGAAGTTAAGTGAGAAGCTGCAGGGCCAGGAGGAGCCACATCGCAGGAAGCTCAGGAAGCCACAGGAAGGAGTTGGCCTTTAGTCTATGGGAAATGGGAGGCTTATGCAGCAGGAAAGTAACTGGTATGGGTTGAACTGTGCTCCTCAAAAAAAGTTCTATTGTAATTCTAATCCCCTGTACCTCAGAATGTGACCTAATTTGGAGATAGGGTCTTTATAGCAGTAATCAAGCTAAAATGAGGTCACTCCAACATGACTGTGTCCTCATAAAAACAGGGAATTTAGACAAAGAAACACAAATAATGGAAGATGAGGTGAAGAAACACAGAAGACTACCATCTACAAGTCAAAGAGAGAGGCATGGACCAGGGGTGGGCAAACTTTTTGACTCGAGGGCCACAATGGGTTCTTAAACTGGACCGGAAGGCCGGAACAAAAGCATGGATGGAGTGTTTGTGTGAACTAATATAAATTCAAAGTAAACATCATTACATAAAAGGGTACGGTCTTTTTTTTTTTTTTTTTTTTTTTAGTTTTATTCATTTCAAACGGGCCGGCCCGGGGGCAGTAGTTTGCCCACGGCTGGAATAGACCCTTAGTAGGAACTAACCCTGTAGACATCTTGATTTTGGACTTCTAGCCTCCAAAACTCTTTTAAGCCAAGTAAATAAACAAGTAAAGAGGAATCAGTAAAACCGGTGACAAAAACAGTAAAAATTGAATACTAAATTTAGAAGATATTACAATACAATCACTGTGTTATTTGCTTTATACTAAGAAAATTATAAATATATCTTTGTATTTCGATCACAAATCCAAAAAAATTATTTATCATAATCTGGGCTCTGGACAACCTCATTGGCATCAACTACAGTGCTTAAGAAAAATTCAGATTTTTAAAAAATATATTTTTTATTGATTTCAGAGAGGAAGGAAGAGGGAGAGAGAGATAGAAACATCAATGATGAGAGAGAATCATGGATTGGCTGCCTCCTGCACGCCCCTTACTGGGGATCGAGCCTGCAACCCGGGCATGGGCCCTTGACCGGAATTGAACCTGTGACCCTTCAATCCGCAGGCTGATGCTTTCTCCAGTAAGCCAACCCGGCTAGGGCAAAATCCAGATTTTGGTTCTTTGCTTCAAACCAATGATATAATTCTAGAGCCACTCTAGATTTTTTAGCATAGTCACATATTAAGACTACTAAAGTGTAATAGAAATTCCAACATTTCAAGATTCAAATTCTATTACTCAGAATGTCTCTATCATTTAGAAGATGCAAAAGATGGCAGACTATGTCTTCATTTTGTTAGTGAAAATATTGATTGTGGTAATATGCAAACACCACCTAGGAAATTTTTAAAAGAGAAAATGGACTAATAAAAGAGAGTGTGAATACTAATAGCCTTAATCTCTATAATGCAATAAAGTAATTCACTTACGTTCTCAGGATGGAAGAATGAGGCAGTTTAAGAATCTTTTTTACATAATCATAGACTTTGCTACTGCACAAATAGAGTGTACATGCAAATTGCTTCATTTCTGTGGAGTACTCAGATGTTTCACTCCAGTTGTACAATTCCCATTTAAAATCTGTTAAAATAAATTTATTTATTCTTTTTTGATGAAAACATATAGAGTAACATTTTCAGGTATAGAGCATAAAATTTTGATTTAAAATGCACTGGGCACCGAAATTCAAATACAATCACATTTTAACTGAGTTTGTTCAGAGATTAATATCCTATCTTTGAGCCTGTTGACCAACTTATCCTGTTCATCTTGAATCATTTCACTAGAAAGAGGGAAGAAAAAAGTTTCCACTTGAGTCACTATATTTAACTTCACTGACAGCCTGAGTGGAGATTTTTAGAGACACAGGGAAGCAAATAAAACAACTGGATAAAATTAAGCCTCTTGATTATGAGGAGATTTTTTGTTTTATTTTGTTCCCTGGTTACTTTATATGAGGGTAAAAATTAGTCATGAGAAACATTTCTTGGGATAGGGTACTATTTGGATTGAACAGACAATCTCTCCTACCACTGAGAAAAAACAGAACAAGCACCCCTGTTCCTGGTGGGACATCTCTTAACTACCTCTATTCCTCACTTGGAAAAACACAAACTATTCTCCTCTAGAGATACCTACTCTTCTAGAAGCAGGACATATTTCTTATTCACCAGAATGTAAATTCAAATTATCTGCTTCTTTCATCAAAGAGTAAGTTGGCAATTCTTATTTTGCCCCTCTTTAAACATCCTGGTTCACAAAGACTCGGTAGTTTTTAAAATGGACACATATATTTATTCTATGGAATATTTTAGAAAATATTTGGAGATTCATACAATTTTTAAACTCAAAGGGATTCTGCAAATTATCTAGTTCAACTCCACTGCAAAAGGACTTTAGTGATAAATTATGTAGCAGTTAAAACTGTAGCCCTGACCGGTTTGGCTCAGTGGATAGAGTGTCGGCCTGCGGACTCAAGGATCCCGGGTTCGATTCCCGCCAAGGGCATGTACCTTGGTTGCGGGAACATCCCCAGTCGGGGGTGTGCAAGAGGCAGCTGATCGATGTTTCTCTCTCATCGATGTTTCTAACTCTCTATCCCTCTCCCTTCCTCTCTGTAAAAAAATCAATAAAATATATTTTTTACAAAATAAAAAAACTGTAAAGAATTTGAGCCTGGCTGGTGTGGCTAAGTGGTTGACCATCAACCTATGAACCAGGAGGCCGCAGTTACATTCCTGGTCAGAGCACATGCCCAGGTTTCTGGGCTCATTCCCCAGGGTGGGGATGGGGGATAGGGGATAGGGTGCAGGAGGCAGCTGATTGATGATTCACTCTCATCATTGATGTTTTTATCTCTCTCTCCTTCTCCCTTCCTCTCGGAAATCAGTAAGAGTATCTTTTTAAAAAAGGAAGAATTTGAGGTAGGGGAACAAAAAGGGGAAATGGAGGGCATCTGTAATACTCTCAACAACAAAAATAAATTTTAAAAAAGAATTTGAGATAACATGGGTAAATATTATTATAAAAAGTGAAAAGTACACTATCTGATATAAACCATCTGATCTCAACTCTGGGAAACAGGATTAACTGTTATTTTTATCATTTATATACTTCTTTGCTTTTCTTATAATAAACATATAACTTTTAAAATTGGAAAACCATAAGAGGATTTTGGCGATTACTTTTCGTTCTTCTTGCTTATGCTATGGAGATTTTTCACTTCTCAGCCAAAAAGTATGTTTTTATAAGCAATAGCAAAGTAAATACAGGTACTTAAGATATTTCAGAAAAGTTAAGAGCTCTTTTGCAAATATTACAGGTCACTGGGGAGCATACCTGAAAACTGTGCTCGTAGCAGACATTCTGTTTCTTCAGAAAGCAGTCTCTCTTCTACCAGTGCATCAATTAATCGTAAACCCTCTCTCTTCTTGGTCATCCTGTAGTTTTTGACAGGAACAAGTCTTTTTTTGGCCAATGGTAGCATCTGTTGCACTTCAGCCAGTTTCTCTGCTACTGTCAAAGGTCTCTTCAAACTGTAGTTATGGTCCTCAGTAGCAACCTCTTCAGAATCATCAGGAAGTGGCTCTTTTAGGATTTTCTGTCTTGCTTTACCGTTATTATGTACACCTTGAAGAACCTATGACAGAAATAGAAAATTACGATTATTTTAGAAATTATCACACAGAAGATTATCTATAAAAATACCACTGAACACAAAGCACTCATCTGGTTGCTGTGGAGTCAGTTATGAAAGAGAGGTCACAATCTCTGATTTTTAAAAAATGTACAGTCTGTAGGACAATGTAAACAGGGTTTCTTTTTTTTGCATCTATACAGAAATAGTAATATGATGCTGAAAGTTTCTGAAATGATTAAAGTAACTAGAGAAAGATGGTAATTTGTGCATAGATATGAGTTTTGAGTAGTTCTCTGAAGGAGCAATAACATGGCTTAATGGAGGGGACAGGGAAGTTACTTGTGCAAAAAGGAAGGCATAGTGGACAGAGCCTGAGCGTTAGAATTAAGACTAACCAGTGTTTGAATTCCGGCTCCCTCACTTGTTAGCTGTCACCTAATCTCTACAATCCCTCATCTCCTCATTTGTTTTGAGGATACAAGAATGTATGTAAATCTCCTAGTACAATGCCTAACTATTGTACGTCTTAATAAATAGTAACTATTTTTGATTTTGCACAAAAGCATGAAAGCAAGTCAATTTACTGTGGGTAAGTTTAAGTATATGAGTTCAAAATGACAGTTCAAAGCAATTAGAAATACACAGATCGGTTAAATAGGAAGCTTTGGAACTTATGAGTTTCAATTTAACAGCATCTATTATTGTTTTGAATAGGGGAATAAGAAAAAACACCACCAAAAGAAGTATACTCCATTGAATAAGAGGAAGGTAAGAGTAGTAGCAACAGACTAAAACAGTTAGATGACTATGCAGTCTGTATAGTGACTGAGCAATGTACAAGAGTGTGGCTAAGGGGTCCAAGGATAAAATAAAAACAATCAGCCTGGCCAGTGTGGCTCACTGGTTGAGCATCGACTTTTGAACCAATACTGGTGACTGAGTCATAGAAAGTCTTCTATTTCTGTACTAGAAGCCCGGTGTACGAATTCGTGCACCCATGGAGTCCCTCGGCCTGGCCTGCGGGATGGGGCCAAAATCAGCTCTCCGACATCCCCCAAGGGGGTCTCGGATTGCGAGAGGGCACCGGCCAGGCTGAGGGACCCCACTGGTGCACGATCGGGCTGGGGAGGGACGCGGGAGGTTGGCCAGCTGGGGAGGGATGGAGGGAGGGCTCCAGGGCGTGTTCCGCCTGTTTCACTCAGTCCCAATCAGCCAGACCCCAGGAGCAAGCTAACCTACTGGTCGAAGCATCTGACCCTGGTGGTCAGTGCACGTCATAGCAAGCAGTTGAGCGGCCTTAACATATCATTAGCATATTATGCTTTGATTGGTTGAACAGACAACCGGACAACCAGACACTTAGCACATTAGGCTTTTATTATATAGGATATCCCTCTATGTCAACACTAATAATTAGGTACATCTTTCGTCAAAATCAGTAACATTCCTGGGAGGAGCCAAAAAAGGGGGGCAATTTCTAAGTATTATGAAAACTGTCACATATGGGCCCAGCTGGCATGGCTCAACGGTTGAGCATCAACCTATGAACCAGGAGGTCATAGTTCAATTCCAAGTTGGGGCACATGCCTAGGTTGCCGGCTCAATCCCCAGTGTGGGGCTGATTCTCATCATTCATGTTTCTAACTCTCTCTCCCTCTCCCTTCTTTTCTGAAATAAAAAAATACATTTTTTAAAAAACTGTTACATACGTAAAAGCATGAATTTTATGTCCAGGCTTGTTTATGCCTGAGTTGATTTTTGTGATCAATTTAGTAACCTCTATGTATATCTACACACATCACCTGCATTTATATACCTTACTTTTTATAAAGCTCCAAAAGCAGTATTACTAGTATTATACATTTAAATATAAACAAAACAACACTAATTTTCTAAGCATTTAAAATTTATTATTGGACTTTACGATGTAGGGTGTTGTGTTTTTTTTAATCTTTGCAGATTTTAGCTATAATGTAAGCTATCTTGATTTTTAAAGGCTCAGTAAAATTTAGTTTTGTTTATGCATAGATTTAAGTACCTTGTATAGAGAAACAGAAGGCACAGCTCCTTTTTTCAGCATTCTTCTTAAGCCATATGACTCAAAGTCACTTTCCAGAAAATGTTTGGAACATAGCATAGCACTTGGTCCTGGGATCCAAATCTTTTTGCTTATGGGGTCCACACGATTAACAGCCCTGATCCATTTTGAGCGCAGTATGGTATCAGTTGGAAATCTATAGCAATCATATTAAAGTTCTATTAACATGAAAATGTTATAGTAATGATACATACAGCAGACATAAACCCATCTATTTTAACTGCTTTATATAACCATTAAGTCCAGTTCAAGTTAATTTACTTAATCTGATTTCATTTTTCAAAATTATTTGGTATTTTTTTTCTTTCTTTTTATTGCTTAAAGTATTACAAAGGGTATTACATGTGTCCTTCGCCCCCCCCCCCCCCCCCCCCCCCGCTTGAAAATCCCCTGGCCTCCCCTACCCCCATTATTTGGTATTTCTGAATCCAGAAGTACAATAGTGATCCTGTCTCCCAATTTGTATGGGGGCAATCCCTATATTAAATATCCTACCACATTTTGTCTTTACTGCCTACACTGAACAGAATCAGCTCAAATTTAATGTGTTTTCCTTTTCTGGCAATTTTCCCCCTTATGGCGATTTTAAACCAGGTCCACAAATTCTTTGTACTCTTCCAAGAGGTGAAGCCTAATTCCCCTCCCCTTGAGTGTGGGCTGGAGTTAGTGATTTGCTTCTAAGGAATACAAAGAGCAGACGTGATGGTGGGCAATGAAACTGGATCATAAAGGGCACCGAGGCTTCCTCCTTACTCTACTGAATGGTTTTTCTCCAAGTGGAAGTTACCTGCCATGTGATAAACGGCCTTACGAGCTCCACTTGGTAAGAAACTGGCCTCCAGCCGAAGGACCTGTGAGTGAGCCTTGTTGAAAAAAAGCCCCTTCAGCCTCAGTCAAGCCTTATCCAATCTTTCCTTTTTATGATGTATTTTCATTGATTTCAGAGAGGAAGGGAGAGGGAAAGATAGAAACATCAGTGATGAGAATCACAATCGGCTGCCTCCTGCACGCCCCTCATGAATTCTAGCCTGAAACCCCTGCATGTGCCCTGACCAGAAATAGAACCTCCACTTCCCCGTTCATGTGTCAACGACTCAACCACTGGGCACACTGCCCCACAAGCCTTCAATCTTAGGAGACACCCTGTAACACCCAGCTAATCCACTCCTGAATTTTTAAAAAATCTTTGCTGTTGAAGAGTATTACAGATGTCCCTTTTCTTTTAACCCAACGCCCTCCTCCACCCCATTTCTGCCCCACCCCAGGCATTCACCTAGTGCAGTGATGGCGAACCTATGACACGCGTGTCAGAGGTGACACGCGAACTCATTTTTTTGGTTGATTTTTCTTTGTTAAATGGCATTTAAATATATAAAATAAATATCAAAAATATAAGTCTTTGTTTTACTATGGTTGCAAAGATCAAAAAATTTCTAAATGTGACACGGCACCAAAGTTAGGGTTTTTCAAAATGCTGACACGCCGCGCTCAAAAGGTTCGCCATCACTGACCTAGTGTCTGTGTCCACAGGTAATGCATATAAGATTTTTGGTTAATCTCTTCCTGCCCCACTCTGAGATTCCTGCCTGTTCAATGCCCCTAATTTTATCTTAATCAGTTTATTTTGTTCATTAGATTCCTTGTTCATTTACATTTAGATACAACTGTTGATATGTACTTACTGCCATTTTATTGTTCATTTTTTATCTTTTTTCCCCCTTCTTCCTCATCTTAAAGAATAGGCCTCACTTAGCCTGGCAGGTGTGGCTCAGTGGTTGTGCGACCCATAAATATGAGGTTCCGTTGGATTCCCGGTCAGGGACCCATGCCCGGCTTGCAGGCTAGATCCCCCGGGGGGAGCGTGCAGGAGGAAGCTGATCAATGACTCTCTCTCATCATTGATATTTCTCCCTCTCCCTTCCTTTCTGAAGTCAATAAAAATATGTATTTTTTTTAAAAAGTGCTTTATCAATGGCTCAACTCTACATCTCACATTACCTTAATAGGTTACTTCTTTTTTTAATAATCCTCACTGGAGGATATGTTTATTAATTTTTAGATAGAGAGGAGGGAGGGAGGGCGGTAGAACGGGGCAGAGAAGGAAAGACAGAAACATCCATGTGAGAGAGGAACATCAACCCAACCATCTATCTGTTGATTGCCTCCCCCTTGCGCCCCAATCGGGGATCCAGTCGCAACGCAGGTAAGCGCTCCGACCGGATGGAACCCACAACCTTTCCGGTGCTCCAGACCACGCTCCAAAGAACGGAGCCGCCCCGCCAGGGTTAGGTTCCCTCCTTTTAAAGTATACTTCTGTCTCCGAGGACGTTTTGCCCACGTTTCTACTTCCCAGCGGGCCTTGAACACTGATTTTAATCCTGGACCATAGATGTGGGCTCCATCTAGACCGGTCTGAAGATCTGCCCTCCCTAGATCCGGCCAGAACACGTCCGGCCTGGTCGCGCCCGGCGACGGCTCCTGAGCAACTTGTAATGACGGGCACGACCGGGGAAAACCGACCTGCACTCACGCCCACGAGCAGCCCATACAGAGTGGAAGCGCACGCCTCAACGGCTCTTCCAAATTCCCCTCGCTTCCCGCCTCCTCACGTTAAATACGTCAGAAAGGAAACACAATTCCTTTCAAGGAACCGTCGCGAAAAGCCAGAGGTAGGCCGTAGGCCTTGAGAACGCATCAGCTATTTGGAGGTAATCACTGAGCGGGGGAAACACGAACGATTTTAACCCTCACAGTTCCCGGGTTTCCTTCCCCAGCCCGCGTCACGCAGGTCAAGCACGTCACGTGGACGGCGCCACACTCAGCCCCTCCCACGCTGGCCTCCTGCCCGCCTGGCGGGGCCAGGAGTTAAGACAGCTCCGAGGCTGCGCTCACGCACTGATGGAAAGAGTAGCCCTGCTTGCGGCTCTCCAGGGTGTCCTTGGTGCTGCAACCCACAGCGGAGCAACTTCGGGTCATCTTCTTGTAACGTGGGGTCCCACTTCCGGTGCCCCCGAACTGCACGAACCACGAGGAACTTAGCTCCGCCCGCTGGGCGCCTGCGACCTTTATTTGTCGGGAAGGCGGGCTTTAAGGCGCAGGACTCTTAGCCTTCCTTCCTGTGGGCGCTACGCTAGACGCCGTGACCAATCACAGGCTACGTGATGTCTCAGCAGCCAATCCGAAAGGTCAAGGGCACGAAGACGAGCACTTGATCGCCCCGCCCTCTCTGTTCGGGGTGGTTGGGCGTTTTTCTGTAATGGGCCTGTTTTTCGGTTGTTTTCACCCGCTGTGGTTTAATCCAGGGCCATCGCGCTGTTTGTGAGGCTCACCCTGGAGATGAGAAGCGGAGAGGCAAGGCCAACGTTACGGGGAATCCAGGGGCGATGGATCTCCGGCTGAAAAGAAATGGAAGATATGATGAGAAGAGGGAGAGGAATAAACGCGTGTGCCCTAGCAATACTGAAGACAAATTGGGCCCAAAATAAGTTATTTAGAGAGGCATGTCTTTTTTTTTTTTTTTTTTTTTGCGTTCTATTTGGTTACTTCCCTAAGGCGGAGATAATGTAGGAGCTGTTGGTAGGTTTGGGCGTAGGTATGTGACCCCGGAGGATCTTGAATGATTTGTGAGAATGCGTCGACTTTTAATTCAACGAACACTTTCCTGCAACACCCTTTGAAACAATGCGGAGTTAAGGAAATTAGGTAAGTTTTTTCCAATAGTACTAGGAGGGGCAAGAGGAAGGGCAGTGAGGTGATTTTGTTTAAGGTGTGGGGCCATCATACCCAGGAGCTTTCAGGAGTGAGAAGATCTTAGGACGATGTCTCTGTTTACGGTATGAGATTTCAATCTTCATAGAAGAAACAAAATGGGACCAATTTAGGGTATGGTTTGAGTCTTTGAAGAGATCCTGAGCATATTAAGTAGTTTCTTTTTCTCCCGCTTAATATAAATGTTTGTAACTTTTTCATTTCTTCTCTAGCTCGAAAGAATGATTGCTTCCCCCACAATCCCCTCCGTTTACTTTGTCCAGATTCCAGACAAAAAGACTCAGCTCAAGGTATTATTTATTCCCATCTACTTCCAGTTATGTTTATATCCTATTTGAGTGAAATTAACAGCTGTTGCTTACATAGCTTTCTTAAAAGTCACATTTGGGGAACATTGATCCTTGGGGAATGAGCTTGCTTGGTTATGAGACGTGCAAAGGGTAGGACCTGGAGTTAAAAATCACATTCGGTTGTTTCGACTGTTAGAAACTTTTCACCAGTTAAAACTGAATGAGGCTAAACAGAGGTAAATAACAGTCTTCAGTTATTTTCAGAGAAAAAGTTGGTTGCCTTATTATTTTATGTAACAGTTATATCGAGTTAGGTAATTCCTGTACCATACAATTAACCCACATAAAATGTACAACTTCAGTGGGTGTTAGTATATTTGTGAGTTGTGCAACCATCACCACATTTGGGAACATTTTCATCACTACTCCCTCCCCAAATTCATTCTCCTTGGCAGTCCTTACATCTTCTCTCCCACAGCGCCTGGTAACTATTACTCTCTTTGTGTAGATTTGCCTATTCTAGGCACTTCGTACAAGTGGAATCAAACTAATAAATGGTCCTTATAATTGACTCCTGGCTCCTTTCACTGAGAATGTTTAAGGTTCATCCATGTTGTATTATATATAGGTAGTTCATTTTTTAATTTTTTTTATTGCCAAAAGATTTTCTCTTGTATATGCCACATTTATTTATCTATCCATCAGTTGGTGGACATTTAGGTTGTTTCCATTGGTGGGGGGGAGGGGGGACTATTACGAATAATGCTGCTGTGAACATTAGCAAACAAGTAAGTTTGTGTGTAGACCTGTTTTTCTCAGAAAGAGGGAGAAAGAGAAACATTGGTGGCCTCCTGCATGCCCCCTATGGGGTATTGAGCCCCCAAACTGGGCATGTGCCCTGCAACCTTTTGGTGCATGGGGTGACACTCAACCACCTGAGCCACACCAGCCAGGGCGAAATATGCTCTTATGTTGAGCCTTTTGAGGAAATACCAAACTGATTTTCCAAAGGGGCTGCACTATTTTGCATTAGCAATGGATGAGGGTTCAAGTTGCTCCACATTCTCATAGGAGTGAAGTGGTATCTCATAGTGGTGGTTGCCCTGTTTTTAAGGACTCAAAGTTTGTAAAGAATCTGCTAGAAGGTGCTTCTTGAGTACAGAGACTATTTCCAAGGTGAATTTGTCTTTTCAGTCGCTGGCATACAAATAGATAGATATGTGGTTCTGCTCTAATGTCATACATGTTCCTGAAAAACCCTTATGTTCAGAAAAGTGCATTTAAAAGGAGGTGGGCTTGTGGGAAAAATAGGGCTGATTACTCAAAACCTATGCAGTTTGATAATCTTGAAAATAAGCAGTGATTAGCTGGAGTGAAATACTCTTATACCCTCCCACCCCATTAACAGTTACAGGTAACTAAATGGGGATTGTCATAGGGTATATTAAAAGAACAAGGCTGGTGGGTGCTAGATTTTACAGATGGAAATGGAGCTCTAGGCGAATGGGCTGCTGTTAAAATGGGGTCAGAAGTAGTGTAATCTGCTGAGAACCTAGGGGGAGGAACCCCTAGATACAGGTACTCATTTTTCTTTTTTCCTAAGATAGAGTTGAAAGTACCCATGCTTCCACCAGCTGGTTGGCTCAGTGGTTGAGCGTCAACCCATGAATCAGAGGTCCCTGTTCACACAGTATTGGTGCTGCCATTTCAGCATCAGAGTTCAGAAAAAAAAGAGACTTTTTCCTTTTCTGCTCAATTGGATTCCAGATATTAGGTTCTCCTAGGAAAGATGAAACAATGTTGCTCTCACATTCTGGTGCATTCTTACAGATGAGTTACTGAAAACTGCTATATTGCAAAACAGATTTAAGTGTAGACTGCTTAAATGAAAATAACCAGCTCCATAGAAACTACAAGGGGTCGCTGCCAGGGGTATTACTAGTGTACTTCTGGATAGAGAAGTGTGTACACTCTTATAAATGGATTTTTTTTTTTTTTTTTAGTTCAGTTGCATTTATTTATTTCCACATTTGTTTATCACTTTTACATGCTTTTTTGTTGCTATTTTTTTAATTTTAAAATATATATATATATAATTTTTTTATTTCAGAGGAAGGGAGAGGAGAGAAAGTTAGAAACATCAATGATGAGAAAGAATCATTGATCAGGGAAATTGAACTGTGACCTCCTGGTTCATAGATTGATGCTCAACCATTGAGCCATGCTGGCCAGGCTTGTTGCTGTTTTTTACTGTTTTACTGGTGACATTGAGGTTCTCATTTTGATCGTTTGATTATATCTTTGCTTCCTTCAATAACTTCATATCCAGTGATTAAACTTTTTCGCTGCTGTTCACATAATGAACCGCTGTGATTATTGAATATGTTAATGAGGATATGTAAGCTGTATTAAAGATGCTATTTGAAAAAGGCATTCGCTGTTAACACAAAGTAATTTAAAAGAAAACATCTCTTTTCAGGAAGTCCATTCTTGGAGATGTTGGGAAGATTCCTGGGTCTCGGAAGATGACTTGAAATATGCAGGGGAAGTAGTGTATCTTTGTGTCTTAAATATAGTAAGTATTCCTGTGAGTTAGAAAGGGAGGATTGTCCAAGTTAAAAATGGATTTATAAAGACTTTGGTGAAATCTAATTTTCTGTTTTATGGTATAGAATCTCATTAATTGGTCACTTGGGAAAAAATAACACCTAATTCTGATTGAACAGGTATTGTGCTAAGCGTTTTATTTATTTATTTTTATATAAATTTTATTGATATTTTACAGAGAGGAAGGGAGAGGGATAGAGAGTTAGAAACATTGATGAGAGAGAAACATCAATCAGCTGCCTCTTGCACACCCCCTACTGGGGATGTGACCGCAACCAAGGTACATGTCCTTAACTGGAATTGAACCCGGGACCCTTGAGTCCACAGACCGACGCTCTATCCACTGAGCCAAACCGGTTAGGGCAAGTGTGCTAAGCGTTTTATACACACAGAAGTACAATGATTGCTTTTGAGCAATATTTCTCACAATAACCCTTTGAGAGCAAATAGACTTTTTGCTTTCTAGGACTGGTATCTTCCTCATTAAACACCTACCCTTTTATTAGATTCTTAATTAGTTCTACTGCAACCTTTATTTTGTTGTCCTGGCATAATAAAGTATATTTCTAGTAACTGATTTATGTTCTTCCTGGTCTTTTTATCCTTTTAGTTCTCTGGGGTTTTTTTTTTTGCTTCAGAAAGGCTTGGGGTATTGAAATTATTGCTGACCAAATATAAATACAGTTCTGAATCTGATTCTTCCCCCAAAATGTCAGGCTTTTCCAGCTAACTCATAAGTTGTACATTTGATTTTTTTGGATATGAATTGTGACCCTCTGCATTACTTATGTATTGCTTTGTAACAAATTACCCAAAACTTAGTAGTTTAAAATAACAAACACTTACAATGGAGGGAGGGGGAACAAACTCTTTCACTTGGCATGCCTCGGTTTCTTAATGGCTGTTGACTGAAGATTTCAGTTATTCTTCATTATATGAATCTCTCTTTAGGCTGCCTGCGTTGTCCTCACACATGACAGCTGGCTTCCCCCAGAGGGAATGATACAAGAGAGCGAGGCCAAGGTGGAAGCTTATCTTTCAAAAGTTAATCTTGAAACTGACATAACGTCACTTCTGTCCTGTTCTATTGGTCAGCCCGGAAGGAGTGGCTCAGTGGTTGAGCACCGACCTTTGAACCAGGAGATCACAGTTCAATTCCTGGTTAGGGCACATGCCCAAGTTCTGGGCTTGATCCCCAGTGTGGGGCATGTAAGAAGCAGCCAATCAGTGATTATCTTTCAGCATTGATGTTTCTATCTCTCTCTTCCTTCCCCTTCTCTGAAATCAATAAAAATATATATTTTGCTCTGGCCGTTTTGGCTCAGTGGATAGAGACCCGCCTGCGGACAGAAGAGTCCTGGGTTTCGGTGAGGTTGAAACGGCCCCAGTGAGGTCGGGATGGCCCTGGTGAGGTCGAAACAGCCCTGGTGAGGTCAGGACGGCCCCGGTGGGGTAGGGACAGCCCCATTGAGGTAGGGATGGCCCCAGTGAGGTTGGGACGGCTCCAGTGAGGTTGGGACTGATAATGGGGACCAGTATAGACTGATGAACAGGGGTAGATGCAGAGGCAGAGCAGCATTGAACAGAATGTCAAACTACAGTGGGAATCCTGGGGAGGGAATTGGGGGGGGGGGGGGGGGGGGGGGGGGTTTAAGAGATCAACAGAAGGACTTATATGCATGCATACAAGAATAACCAATGGCCAAAACCGGTTTGGCTCAGTGGATAGAGCGTCGGCCTGCGGACTGAAGGGTCCCAGGTTCGATTCCGGTCAAGGGCATGTACCTGGGTTGCGGGCACTTCCCCAGTGGGGGATGTGCAGGAGGCAGCTGATCGATGT